CACTACCTTGTTCCCTTACACAAAATTGAAGTATGTACTAAAGAAAAACAAAGATGAGAATACAGTATGGTAAAGAAAAGGGGGACTTCTTTTTTTTAATTCTGTATTGTTTAAAAGTATTACATATGTCTCCTTCCCCGCCCCCCCCATTGGCCTCTCTCCAGCCACTCCCACCCTTCACACATAGCCTTACCCCCGCTACTGTCTGTGTCCATGGGCTATGCTTCAATGCATGCATATAAGTCCTTTGGTTGATCTCTTACCGTCCTCCCCCCACTGCCTTCCCTCTGAGGTTGGACGGTCTATTCGATGCTTTTATGTCCCTGGATCTATTTTTGTTCATCAGTTTATGTTGTTCATTATATTCCACAAATGAGTGAGATCATGTGATATTTATCTTTCTCTGACTGGCTTATTTCATTTAGCATAAAGCTCTCCAGGTCCATCCATGCTGTTGCAAATGGTAAGAGTCCCTTCTTTTTTACAGCAGCATAGTATTCCATTGTGTAGATGTATCAAAGTTTTTTAATCCACTCATCCGCTGATGGGCACGTAGGCTGTTTCCAAATCTTAGCTATTGTAAATTGTGCTGCTATGAACCTAGAGGTGCATATATCCTTTCAGATTGGTGTTTCTGATTTCTTGGGATATATTCTTAAAAGTGGGATTATTGGGTCAAATGGGAGTTCCATTTTTAATTTTTTGAGGAACAGGGGGACTTCTATACAACCAGCCAAGACAGCAGAAACTAAGATTTAAATTAAAAATGAAAACCAAGGTGAAGCAAAGAGTATTAAAAAAATCATAATTTTATAATTAATCATTTCACAATTAAAGTCATAACAAGTTTGTTTCCTACTTATCTATATATTTTTGACAAGCCAGATGCACTTAAATCTCTAATTCTTAACTGAATTCAAGTCCCCTTACCCTCCTGCCCCAGGGAATTTGGGAGTGTCTGGAGACATTTTTGGTTGTCATAATGGGGTTGGAGGGTCCTCAGCAAACACCAGAGATGCTGCTAAATATCCTACAATGCACAGCACAAATCTCCACAACAAAGAAATTACCTGCTCCAGTTCCCTCACACACTTCAGAGCTAATTTCTTGGAAGAACAGGTAGCAGTTAGCACTCCAACCCCAACACCTCCTCATTTTCCTAGAGCCCAGAGACACCTTTTACTTGACCATCATGTGGCGTTTACATTGCCAATGACTTTTCATTCTGAAAATTATTGCCTTCCTTTTCTTGTCACTTCACTGTTGATACCCCATAAACTCTGAAACCTCTTCTGAGCATCCTGCACTGGCACTTCTTTCCTTTGCTCAATAAATATCGGGGTTCCAGGCAGTGGAAGTGGTCTTGGCCCTTATTAACCACTGGGCACACAGCCTGCCTGGGCAATCATGTCTACTTCTATCTACTCCCATGGCTTCGACCTCTATCTGGGAAAGACCTTTCTTCTCAATTCCAGAAGCTTTTTTAAAAAATGGAACATGAGGTAGTTTCACCTTCTTATCTCATTGTTCTGGCAAATAACACAGCCAAAGTAAGTTCAGCTTCCGGTTCCTACTAGTTATTTGTCCTGTAGCTGCCATTCCTAGAGATGGTAGCAATATACACAGTCAATCTGCCAAACATATATATCATCTCACAAATTGGCCATAAAGTGATATGATTTATAATTTCTTAATGTGATTCAAACTATTTGCTTCTTTTAATCTTCACTGCTACTTTCAGTTTAAAATCTAACATATACCCTCTTCTGAGTTATTTGGCAGCTTCATAATTCCTCTCTGATTTCAATCATCATTCCTTTAAATCAATCTTTATTTCTCTTTCATTTCAAAGTCTCTCATTTTACAGAACAAAAATGACTAGATTTTATGAATCAGCACTTGCCTACCTTTCAAACTTATGCTGCCCACCAACCTCATATCAAACCACCTGAATTTCTCCAAATACACAATGTTTTTTGGTTTCCACTCGTTCCTTTAATGTTTAAAAAAAATGATGTTCTAAAATTGAGCCTTTATGTTAGGCATTCACAAATATGAAGATCAAGAATTTTTATAATCTGGTAGAGGAACATATATAATTTATACCATTTTATAAAAATACATTGGTTACAATATTATTGAAAAATCTCAATGTTTTGACCCTAATTTCCATATTAATACTTTTTATGAAACACAAGGAAAGACAGAATACTTATGAGCTAATGCGAAAAAGATGCATATAAATGAATACTATTTGATCTTGTTTTGCCTCAAATGGCATGAACTGTTGACATGGCATTAGAAGAAAGAATTTTATTCACTAGCTAAATTCAATTTTAAAGACTTGTGTTTTCCTCTCTAGGTCAGAAATATTTTTAGCATTTCTCAAAGCTCATTGATTTAAAATTTTTTCAAAAGCTACTGTCATATTACAGGAAAAAAGTCATTATTTAAAATCTTCCTCTTAAAACAGTTTGATTCATTATTAATGATGGAATTAGGAAAGAAAGCAATCCTTCAGGTTACTAAATAAAAATACAAGATGCATGTTTATTGAGAGCAATTTTAACAAAACTAAGGCTTTGAAAAAGAAATTATAACCTTATATCTGCCCAACAATAAAATGACTGGCCAATTTTGATAAATTTTAATATTGAGAAGAAAGGTTAGTTAAGGTTAAAAATAGTTAATTGCTTGCTGCCTGGGCTGGTGTGACTCAGTTGGTTGGGCATTCTCCTGAGCATTGAAAGGTTGCTGGTTTGATTTGCAGTCAAGGCACAGGACTGGGTTGAGGGGCTCGATCCCTGGTAGGGGAATGTAGGTGCAGCTGATTAATGTTTTGCTCTCACATCAATATTTCTTTCTCTTTCCCTCTCCCATTCTCTCTCTCTAAACATCAATAAAAATAGTTATTTGCTGTTAAGTAGATAAAAGAAAAAATTTAAAAACTCAAAATTTGTATTTTTTATTTGTATAAAATAGTCCAGATTTTATTTTAGTTTTACCAAATATGGCACAATTTTCTAAAACTGAAAATTAAAAGAACCCAGATCTGATCTTGAATTCCCCATTAACTTGTTTAAATCTCAGTTAGTTAACTAAGATTTCATTTTATCTATAAAAGGGAGAATAATGCCTATTATATTTACTATAAAGGGACCTGGTAGAAAAAAGATCAATAGAATTTGACATTGAATTATTTCAATATTTTTGAAAAGTTCCAGAAATAAGATATTTCAAAATAGAAATGGAAGTTAGGAATATTTGCATTCTTAAGGTTTTGTTTATGCTTCAAATCTCACTAAACTTAATTTAACTGCTTTTTAAAATAATTTATAAAAAGTAAATTACCTGGTGTTCAGGCAAAATGGCATTGCTAGCTAAGGTTCTAATGCTCATATATTGAGGTCTTTCACAAAACAAATTCGGGTTTAGGATTCTTCTAATCTGTTCCTATTGGACATACACATTTCAAGCATCCGTGGGTTCCAGATTTCCTGGTATGAACTATAAATCAAAAGACTGGACACTTGCCCTGGCCGGCTTGGCTCAGTGGATAGAGCGTCAGCCTGTGGACTGAAGGGTCCCAGGTTCGATTCTGGCCAAGGGCACGTGCCTGGGTTGCGGGTTCGATCCCCAGTAAGGGCTGTGCAGGAGGCAGCCGATCAGTGATTCTCTCTCATCATTGATGTTTCTCTCTCTCTCTCCTTCTCCCTTCCTCTCTGAAATCAATAAAGAAATATATTTTTTAAAAAAAATTTTTAAAAAAAGACTGGACACTTGATAACAAAAACTGTCATCGGGGTAGCTGAATAAGAAATAGTATGATTTTATTTACTAAAAGAAGTTTTCATGTCTAAAAGTAATGATAACAGGTAGTGATATATTGTTGAGAATTTTAGTACACAAATACACAAGTTTTATAATCTAGTATAATAAATTTAGAATGTAAATAAAAATATCAACATTAATTACAGACATGAGACCATGAGCTATTATTTAGCACTACCCTTCAAGACATATAAATAAGACTCATGCCTAAATTCTCTTATCTGTGAGACCCTATGGTACAAGCAGAAAGTTGAAAAGTACAAACTTTTTAAAGATCCAACTGTTTCCGTCTTTTTCACAATTAATTATAGATAAAACATTTCCTCAAAATAGATAATATAAAAAAATGTATCATGCTGTTTAAATTACCATACCAAATCCTCGCTGTAAACCAGAAAAAAAAAATCTATCATATTTTTTTATTTTGTTCTGGAAAATAATTCATGAAGTTTTGGAATTAATGTAAAAATTGCTACAAAGCATTGATATCATGATTTACTAGTGTTATTTGGGTTATCTGCTTAATAAATATATTTTTCAATGTCAAAGTCAGGGCAAATCCTTAGCTACTGCTGATTCCCAAGACTTAGACCCTCTGATGTATGAACATTCTGTCTCTACAGAAATAAGATATCTTCTATGATGACTTTTCTATTAAATAAAGAAAGTATAATTGGAATTATTGTTGATGTGTTCTTCCAGGCATGCCTAGAGTAATGATTCCTTTATCAGAAATTGCCTGATAAAATTTAGATTTATACATATATACAGTATATTAGTTATAAATAGGTAACAGAAATTGGTATAATATTGAATGCATCCCTTGTATTTGCTGACATGGTAGACACAAACTTTTCATTTAACACTGCCAACTTTAATACTTGATTATATCTCTCAGTAATAACTCAAATTTTAAATATGAGTAGCATCGCCACCTTGCTGTAATATAGTAACAATCACCATGGTGCTGTAATCTAAATAAATTTACTGCAACACCCTGGCTTGGCATTATTTTGACTAGCTTTCTCTAGAGAAGACAAAGTAAAATTATGCAGAGCATTTTAATTGTTTTATTCTTTGGGTATTAAGCACCCATGGGAACAAAGCTTACTACAAATAAATCAAAGTAAATGCGCATGCCATTTATGAGGCTCATTGTGTTCACTTACATGCCACTTCCAGAGATGCATTCCGACTCACTGCTTCACCAAGATAGTTTCTTGCAACGCAAACGTAGCTTCCTTCATCAGGCTTACTTCTGCGACCATGCACAATGCGCAAGAAGAACAAGGATCCGCTGGGCAGCAGCATCCTGTGGGAGCGCGGATCATCCTTGTCCGTCTCCACCCGCTCACCATCTTTATACCACTCAATGGTGGGTGTTGGCCGGCCCTCTGCCTTACAGTTCAATGTGGTGGGCTCTCCCTTGGAAACAATGACGTCTGAGGGGTGCTCCACAATCCGTGGGGGAAAGTCTTCCTGACGAAGACGAGATCCTAAAAACGTGACAGAATAAAGACAAGCGTTGACATTTTCTTAGTGATAGCTTTTGTTTGATCTAGGTTGACAATGGTGAAATGAAACTCTTTATTCAAAATGCACTTATTACTATTTTATTTGTTTCACTCTTTTGTTCTTTATGTATCTCATAAGTCATCCCCATTCCTTTGTGCAATGAGACAATATAACAATAACTTAATGTTAATTCTAATAAGTTATAGTTAATGTCCCATGAATCATGACCAACAAAACCAAAAGAGAGCAGGCTGGACTGGGTACAAGTAAAACGAATTCCCATCCTCGAAGTGCTTACTATCTCCTGGGGAGAAAGCCAAGTGCCCAAGTACCTAGAACACATATATAGATACCGTTTATCATGCTGATGTGCTGTTATCTGACTTAACATAAAAAGAGACCCACACATTAGGTACAAATATTAGCTCAATTTAACAGATAAGGAAGAAGCTTAGGAAATTAAATTGATTGCCCAAGAATGTAGAGGAAATAAGCAGCAGAGGCAGGATTTACATCCAGATATGTCTGACTGAGGACCTCAAGCATAAATCACTATGTTCAAATGAAATAAGTATTGCATAAAGGTCCAAGAAATGCATTATTGAAAGAAAATTAGAAGCAAAATGTTAACTCTAACTAGAACATATTAAGAAGTCTCTTCCCAAAAACAGTGGCATTTAAATTGAGCTGTAAAGAATAAAAATATGTCAATATGGGAGAAAGGCATTCAGGTTGAAGAAACAACATAAGCAAAAGAAGAGAGAAATTAGACCACATTTACAGTACATTTCATAATCAGGGAAAAAGTTGATGTGGTAGGTGAGTGTAAAAGGTAGTCTTGGAGCCTGAGACAAAAGGGCTTTAAATACCATGCTAAGGAGTGTGAATTTTAGTCTATAAGACTAACAGATTTTGAAGGAACAGTACCTTGACTACCTGTGTATTAGAAAGACACTCAGGGTCTGTAGTGTAAAAGATTGGTAGCAATGAAGGCAAAAAAACAGTTAAGAGTTGTTGAAATACTCCAGAGAACAATCAAAACAAACAAACAAAAAAAAACAAAAAACCTGACCTTGAGAAATAATGCTGAAGTATAAAAAAGAGAAAGATATAAGGCATATTATAAAACAACTAGAGGCCCGGTGCATGAAAATTCGTGCACTGGGGGTGGGGATCCTTCAGCCTGGCCTGCCCTCTCTCACAGTTTGGGGGCCCTCAGGGGATGTCCTACTGATGGCCTCCCTCTGAGGGATGTGACAGGGCTGATCAGGGGAAGGCACCACCCCCATCACCCCACTGCTGTTGCCAATGCCGGCTGCTGCAGCTGCCGGCACTCAACCCTCACTTCTTAGCGCTGGCCCCACCCCCCATCCACTGGTGGGGGGGGGGGGGGGGGATCTGGGGCCAGGTCAGGTGGGGGAGGAGCTGTGGGAGGTTGAGGCACAGCAAGTCGCACCCTTCCAACCTCTGTGAAGGCGTGATGCCAGGGCCAGGCCCGAGCCGCTGCCTCTACAGCTGCCTCTGCAGAAGGGTCAGCATTGGGACTGGGACCATGCAGCCCCCTCTCCCGCTGCTTCTGCCAAAGGGGCTGTGGTGCTGGACTGGCCCACACTGCCACCTCTCCCGCACCACTGGCCCTCAGACCTTGAAGCTGCTGTGGCTTTGTCTGGAAGGATGTCAGGAAGACATCTGGTCTAATTAGCCTATTACCCTTTTATTAGTATAGATCAGTGATGGCGAACCTATGACACACATGTCAGAGGTGACACGCAAACTCATTTTTTTGGTTGATTTTTCTTTGTTAAATGGCATTTAAATATATAAAATAAATATCAAAAATATAAGTCTTTGTTTTACTATGGTTGCAGATATCAAAAAATTTCTCTATGTGACACGGCACCAGAGTTCAGTTAGGGTTTTTCAAAATGCTGACACGCCGAGCTCAAAAGGTTCACCATCACTGGTATAGATGCTTGGTAGAATTTGGTATATCACCATATAGCAAGGAAGAGTGATAGGTACCAACAATTTCCTTGTGACTGCGATGAAAGTAAGGCTACTAAGGAAAATAAGACATACCAAGAGAAAGTCCTGTTGGTATTTTTAAATGAACATTTTACATAACATATTGTTTTGAATATTTTTAATTTATAAAGTGCCAATGGCCATTATCTGTGGAAAGGTCCTACCAGCAACTGCAAAATAAATCCAAAGGAGATGCTGGAAGAAATAACGACATCTGAGGACAATGATAATGTACATATGGGATTTTAAAAGTTTGTTCTTAAAATTTTCCAGCCAATCACCTAATATTAGCACATCTCTGCCCAATGCACAGAAGTAATATTTATTCCTCAATAGTGTTTATTTATATTCAATATTAATTAAAATTTAATATTTTACTTTTACAGAGGAAATTTAATTTGGTAGTAAATAAACATTTTCTTTTCTGAAGAGATTTAACATTTAAAGGTTGCTGATTACCATTTGTAATCTCATCAGATCCAAGAAGGAACTTACACATTGAAAGTGCTAGGTACCTACAGCAAAAGAGTAATTCACAGTACACAGGTCAGAATTAAAAAACAAAAAAGTACTAAAGAACCCCAAAGCATTTAAATATGGACAGGTACATCATGTATCACAGTAATATAGAAAGACACATATTGTAAGTACTATGGTCCTAAAGCACATGAGGAATTTGCTGTCTATAAAAAATAAGAATTATTTTAAAAAGCAATAATCAAGAAATATCTCAAAGTATCCTATATAATAAAAGCATAGTACTCTATGCAAATTGTCCCTTCAACTGAAAGTTATCCAGAGCTTTACTGGGGATGGG